CACCGGTCAAGTTATTATTCGGCGGTAGGTCTCGCGGTCTGGCCCGAACACCTTGGTCACTCAAGGTCACTAAACTTCGTTTGGAACTTCTCACCACTGGAGGTTGGTTTATACGTGGTTTTGCTAAGCGTGGCAGAGAACGTTAAGAATCTCTGCTTGGAACGCGCGTCTTGGGGAGTGGAGAGATTCTTTGTGGCGAATGTTATTTTAAAGTTACAGTGTTTTTTTGTCTTTGTAAGGTTTTTGGTGTGCAATGTTGCAGGTATGTTGGGGTGAATTGAGATGTGGTGAGATTGTGAATGAGGTGAGTGGAATTCATGAAATTATAATTGGTGTTGAAATTAGAATTCATGAAATTATCATTAGCGTTGGCATTATAATTTCTGAAATTAGGAATTAGTGTGTGGTGGCTGGTTCTGAAGTGTGGGGGAATGCGGACGTGTTAACGGTAGAACTGCTGAGCATTTAATTGAAATGTAATTCCTGTGGAAATTTGTAACGATAGATTGTTTTTCGATTCTTCGGATATTCATCATGGTGTTCGAGTGGGATTATTTATTTTCACGATCATTTCGAATATTCAATGATTCTTAGATATCAATAATTGCGAGACAAGAATACTGAAACGAGTCCAATAGTTCTAGTGTTATCTTCTTCGCGCTTTTATGTCAAGCGTGACTCGGCATCAGTTTTATTCATAGGTGTGATTCTTTGCCAAGATATTTTTCCAATAGATTATATTATATTATTATCAGTATTTTTACTAAGAAGAATCGTTTACACTGCTTTCTACAAACTGTCTATTTTCCAAATGCATTTCAAATAAAATGTCGTAATAATATAGAGTTATCGAGGAAAAATATTATTTTCAATATTATTAGTTAGAAGAATCGTTTACACTGCTCTCTACAAACTATCTATTTTCCAAATGCATTTTAAAGAAAATATCGTAATAGTAGAGAGTTATCGAGAAAAAAATGCAAGAGAAATTCAAAGTGCAAAGGGTTAAAAAGATTGTACGTCGGTGACATTTGTAGTCGTGTTAAATTAAAATTCATATAATTGTTTTATCAACACGTTGACTGCCACGAGAATTTCAAACGTTTTATGTGCAAAGGGTTAAGGAACTGTTGAGGAATATGGCATTAAGACGTTCGGTCGGGATATGTAGCTTTCGAAGGAGCGTACGCTTAAGTTGGCGTCTGGATGTCGGTGTTTGGTGTATCAAGAAATAGGTCATGTATAGAACTGAAGCATACATCTGTGGGTTGCAAAGGGAAGCTAATGCTCTGACCACTAAGGTCTTCGTTGCTTTCAAATTCAATCCTGTTTTCCGAGTGTATTCTTACATGCAAAGCACATTGTAGCTGGCGCTTGGGTTTTTCTTTTGCCGCCATTCATCTTCTTCTTGCATCGAAATAAAAACAGATATCGGATGTAGATTTGCTAGCTCCCGTGTACCTACGATGCTGAATGAAATACAGAAGTTAAGCTCACGACTTTTGGATGAGGCAAGGAAGAACGGCTCGCATTTGTTCCATTCAATCGCTGAGCAAGATTACCGCGCGAGATTCGACCGCCAGTGTCCTGAGTTTGTAATTATGCTTGAGACTGCGTCCAGGATTAACCCTTTGCGGACGAAGACACTTTAACCCTAATTGTACCACGTGTTTTTATAACGAATCATACCACGATGTGACTGTCAGTCGCTTATGAGAATAAAAGGAATGATTAAAATGTTATTGTTTTTGTTTATAGGGCCCAAATTTTAAAAGTCCTAAAAAACTTTTTGAAATGCAATATAGAATAATCAAAAAATTTAAGTGAAAAGTTCAAATGTGACTCAAAGTCACATCGTGGTCCGATTAGGGTTAAAGTACACAAACCTGGCAACATATCAAGATAAATTATACATCGAATGCTTGAACAATGGAAATAAAGGAAACTGTACACTGATCTCTTGCTTTTCGAGTAATCAAATCATTCGTTTGCAATTCAGTATTCCAAATATGAACATTTCATCTCGCCAAGATGTCGACGCTCGTCCGCAAAGAGTTAACACGTTGACTGTCATGAAAAACAGTACAATAAATAAATAAGAATCATTGTGAATTAAGAGTCGTTATTCTTATGTTAGATTATTATCAATTTACTTACGTTACTAAGCATTTGTATTCAACATTGATGATCTTACAATTAGAATTGTTTTCATGCGATTCAGAAGCGTTGGACACCAATGATCACTATGGCAGTCAACGTGTTAAGGAAAGTCCTGGGTTTTCAAGAGGGTAGACTTGCAAGTTAACGAAGTGTAAATTATTAATTAACTGAAGCTAAATGTCTCGACGAAATGGAACTTTCATGGAGTGTTTTGTATTATATTTCTCTGTCATTGCGACCAATGGAACCAGTATATTACACAAGGTTGAAGCTCGTGAACTTAACTGTAATCATTTGATACTGTATGATACTGTAATGATACTCAAATGATACTGTGATCAAAATACCAAAGATGAATAATATTGCTAACAGCTTTTTCCTTTGTTTTGCATAGTATTTCTTCCATGCTTAGACCTCGTGGGAGTAGAACAAAGTGTTCTATCAATAAAAGTCGTTTTAATGATTTTGAGTAACCAAAATCTTCTGACCTGAATATAATAAAATTAATGGGTCTCGGTCACATGATATTCTGTGACACGGGGGTGTTAGTAATAGGGGTATAGGTACGTAATAAATTCTATAGAAAATGTGCATACACTTAATCAGTCGTGTAACATTTGAACCGTCAACATGGAATCTCATCATTTTATTAACTTAAGTATATACACTGTTCTAAGTTCGTTTCATGGATATGGGTTTGTGCTTTTTCGTTTCTGCGAATGCAGTTGATTCGTGTCTGGTAAATTTATTCGAGACCGATCTCTTCTATACCGTAGCTTAGAGCTCGTCATGGGTAACATCGTTCCTGTTGCTCCGAGATGAAATCGTCCGAATAAATTTACCGGATCTTAAATCTCTCAGTGCCAGTTCGTTCGCATGCATAATCGCTACGAAATAGAGAAAAACTATTTTGCAGTGTTAAATATATGAAATTAATTTCACCCGGAACATTGCACAAGTCACTGAAATTTTCACAGCACCTTTAATGTATACCTGTTGATGGTCACACAAAAACATTAATTTCATCATACCACACTCGGTATTCGACGCAAAAAAGAAAAACAGCTTTGTAACATCTCATGAACCTTCTACTAGAACTACACCCTATTTAATCCTGTTCCCGTTGACACGTAAAGAAAACTGTTTCTCGAACCTGTAGCGTTCGATTCGATTTTTAACTTGCGAAAATCAAATCGTAAATGTTACTTCCTTTAATATTACATATCTCATGTTACGGTACTTTTTAATAGCCTTCCCGTATTTGAACTTTTTTATATCGCGCTCTCGGCGCGACGTAATTGATCCCAACAGGGGAAAACTTGAAGCGCTTCGGGACTGTCTTGATTTCATTAAACAGTTTCTAAGTGCGTACGGCTTTGAGTAAACGCGTTAGATTCTCGACGACGACAGAGTGTCAAGGGAAAATTGTTTTTCGAATATTCAGTATTATTTGAAAACGTACGATTATCAAGGAATAAATATTTCAATGTTTTCAATTTATCCTCGAAGGCTAGATAATTGGTGCCTCGACAGAATAATCGGTATCGCGGCATATGTCACGATTATTTCTTATTTTATTTTTCTCACGAATATATACACCACCGGTCAGCAGTTTAGAATCACTACGTAAATCTGTACATGTGAATTTCGATGATGAAATATATATGCGTTGGATAGTTATGAATATTTTATTTAATACACGTCAATGATGTACGAGATATCCGTGGATTCCGCGATAGAAACTCACCGCATAAGGAGAGGAGTAAAATACTGGCAAAATAGATCCACCCCATAACGTCATCAACAGGTCTCTTCTGCGGTGGTCATCATTGTCGCACTATCGGCATTTCTGTCTGCTACTGATACTTGATAACTCCGTATTATTCATTGCTGTGGGAATTTCTGTAAAGTGAAAAATGTTCACGTGAATAAATACGTGAAATTCAAAGCGAAATTAATTATTTCAAAAATATTCATGCTGTGCGAATATTCAAATTATAATAATTCAATTTATTGAATAATTATTAGAAGTTGCTGGATCAAAAGTAGAAAATATATTCTTTGATATATATATTTCATGTATTACATACGTGTCACTCGCAGAATAATTATGTATGCAATAATTAGACTGCGAATTTGAGGTATTTATAATGTACTAATGTCGAAATTGGAGCACTGTAGGAAGTTCAATAAAATTAAATAATATTTGAAATTTAGTTTAGCATTGTGTATAATTTTTAATCAAATGATTTTTTGTTTGGTAACTGAACTCCGCGGGTATGTTTGTTCGTTTACATGACTATACTTCCTGTTTTGGGAATTTCTGTAAATCTAGTTTTGAATTTATTGACGCCCTATTTTTATGTAAATTATGTGACCTTATTTTAAGATTAATATTACGCAAAGATTACTGGTATCAATGGTTTTATCTCTTATTTACTTGTTCTAAATTATCTATTGAATTATCATTCAAATTATTATATTTTTATGGAATATAATACCTGTGTAAAGACGATTGAGATATACATTGCATCGAGCGATCGATCGCAACGCCACCATGAATCACGCGGCTGAATCTATAAACTGATCTATCAGTGTTGACAAATGTTGACAAGTGTTGACAAGTATTGACAAGTGTTGTCAACTGTAGGAGTGTAGGTAAAGTGGTAAAATGTAGGCGCGAAAATTGTTACAATTGTTACAACTGTTGTAAAATACAAAGGAAAAATGGAGCAAACTTTGTCTACCGTTGAGAAACTGTCAGAAGAGATACAGAATATGCAAAAATGTTTACAATGTCCAATTTGGTAAGTTTCTCATAGATTTATGATCTACAGAGATATAAGTTTACGTAGTGATTTTTATGCGCCGGGTGTGTAAAAATAAATCATTTTTCCTTATGGTTGTCACGTTGTGGTATAGGTTATGTTTAATTGTGTTTACTATAATGCTATGAAAATTTTCTGAATGAATCTATTGTAGTATTAACATGTTAATTCAGCTGGTTGTTTCAATGAACATTTTTTATTTCTTCAGTTTTGCTTGCAAATGATCTGTTTTCATACAAAACTTGTTAACTTTACATATTCATATGGCAACATTGAATTTCGTTGATACCATTATGAAGATATAATATCGCAATCATCCTAAATATAGAATTGATATGTTTGCCAGAATTATTTTATAGATAAATTAGTATATCATTCCAATTAAAACTTAAAGATACATTAAATTATCTTTGTTTTATATATATATTTAAGTGTATTTTTCTACAATATGTCAAATGAACGTAGCAATTAGCATTAAGCATTCCATCTTTAAATTATTATATTTTGAATTATGGACCACTTCCTGGAGAGATGAAATTTTTTTTGTGAAGAAATCTTATTACCAATTATCACATGGTTTTAGCATATAGTCATAACTATAACACATATTTATGTCGACTATCTTCACAGAATTATAAGCTATATATTATCATAAACTATAGGAGATAAGACGTAATGTTAGAATCATTTATTCAACTCATACAATCACTCTTTAACAATTTCAATCATTTATTCATGTGAATAATGCTATATTAAAGGTTCACGTAAACATTGAATGTTGCAATTACCAAATCTCCTATCACGTAGTCACTAAAAATGCCTATTCTCAATTATTCCATCGCATACTCATTAGAAAATTCTATTATCAGTTCTCTAATATTGTGTATTAAATCAATTGAAATATTACCTTCATATTACATTAATTTTGTTTTTTCATATGAAATATTACCTTCATATTATATTCATTTTTTTTTTCATATGAAATATTATCTTCATACTCATTCATACTCATCAGAAATTTCTATAATTAGTTCTCTAATATCCTGTATTAAATCAATTGAAATATTACCTTCAATTGTAATCAATTTCATTTTAAGCATTTCTTATATTCTGTTATGCTAATAAATGCTACATGATTTGTTTCAGTCTACACACCATATCAGACCCGGCGAGGACCCGTTGCGGGCATCGATTTTGCCGGGATTGTATCCAAACTGTATTGCAAAGCAAGAATGCAGCCTGTCCATTATGCAACGCCGTTATCCATCGACGCAGTATATGCAAGGACGAGCATATGGAAATTTATAAAGATAGATTAGAAAAACTAATACAAGCGATACAAAAAGACTCCGGCATCGACAGTGAGTACAACCGATTCATTCAGTACTTTTTTATCCATCTCTACGAAATCTTTATTAACAATCGTTTCTTACTGTCGCATTTTGTTGAATTTTCTCCAACAGCCACTTTCTTCCTCCTTCAACATCGTTATTATCATTGCTCTTTCATTCGATAAAAATATAAGAAAACTAGTACCAATAGACCTACTCCTCTCTCACTATCAGTTTGAATACATACCTTATATAAGAATCGCGGTACTGTTATGTAACATTAGAAGTATCGAGAGAACTGACTCACATCCAGTTTTTCCTTAAACTTTGATGAATATACTTGACAAGGCTTACTGCCACCTTTATCATATACATTTTCAAAATCTCTATTAATTTTTATAACTGTAAACAAATCTGGTAATGTCTCATTGTAACCTGTGTCCTTTAACCCCTTGACCTACGATTTATTTTTCAACTATAATCGACACAACTACTTTTCCCTTAATAATTTATTAAAAAGAGAGACAAATTTTAGGTATATTCTATGCCTATGTTTGTTTTAAATTATAATAATTGATAACAAAAGGATAATCTTTCATTTTTATTCACAATAATTGAGTAATATTTATATTTGTTAAGTTCTGTTTAACACTAGATTTACGGAACGAATCAATTCGACTCATATTGAATTTCAGTATAATTTATATATAACTTATTTAAAAATTATTTCCTAAATGTTTCTGTTGATTTTGATTAAAGCAGGTACGCTAATACGAATTCTAATCGTCTACGTTGAAACCTCTAATTTCCGAAATCTAAACGAACGAATATCAATTTTCCTAGAAACATTAGAACAAAGTGTACAATAAATGTCCGTAAATTTAGTGTTAAAACCTTCACCACGAGTCCCACGCGTTATTATAAGGCAAAGGGTTCAAAGGGCCGAGTTAAAAATCATTCCGGAAGGTCCATATGATTAATACGATATTCGATGTTTTGTTATTTATCGTTTAATCTCGCGATGGGTCCAGATTTCCGATAACAGACCACCGTGGGCGCAGAGAATTTTCTTGAGATGCAATGGCAACGCAATAAGTTCGAGGAGAATTAATGTTCTATCTACGATAAGATACCTGCACGTTGCTCGGAAAGGGCACGAACCAGAAAATACTTCTTTGTGTGCCCGCGCGCGTGTACATGTACGTCCGTGCGCCACGATATCATGTTCACTCAGGTCAGCTATTCGTTTCCACGTGGCGGAACGAGTCTTTCAAACATTCAGACGGCCGCGTTGTTTGGGATCCCGTTGCTTTCTGCCAGCATCCGAAACTTCAATGTTTTACCAGGTCCTAACGTTTACCTGTGTCGCCTTCAACCTCCGAAATTCCTTGCAAGGCCGCCTAACAGATAGTTCCCTTTAAATTTTAATTGGTTCCCGTGTGACACTTTTCTTATCGAGATACAACGCTTACAAGGCCATTGCACGGAAACGTGCAGTTCCGTCGGGACGTGACGTATTTTGCATCAGCAAACAATTCCATATTTCTTTTGCTTTTATATTTGTTTATAAAGAAGTTAGAAACTTTTGTTGTTTTCTATAAAAGAAGAAAAGTTAGAACTAGAAAGGATGTTGTATTCGACTCATTTTCTGCATGTTCTGTATTAAGCAAATTGCAAAACAATTTTTCAAGTTTGAAACGATAGTATCGATATTGGGAGCTGATAGAGGAAAAGAGTAATATCTTCTATTACGTGAAGAAGTAGGTCACGTGACACTTCATAAGGAGAACAGAAATCAAGCGTCTTTGATAGGATTAGTTAATTTGGAGTCAATTAATTTCTTACGGTGTATTAAGTTGTCCTGTAACAGTTCCTTCATCGAACCTTTTTCGAAAGAGTGGTTGTACGTGTTCTATTATCTAATTAATTTCTACTGTACGGTTCCCTTTCTGTAGAGGCTGTTTTATCTACCTTACTGACGTAGTTCGAGCAGCTCCAAAGAAACCGAGTAACTCATTTGCGTGAATTATTCGTCTGTTTCTGATATATTTGAAATAACAGCTTCGTCAGTCTAAAAGCATAAACAATGATAAATATAAATATAAAAAAAACAGATATAATATTCTATACCAGAGAAATAACACGTTTTCCGTGTAACGCGACTAATGGACCCAAGAAAGCTCTAATGGTCCCAGGAATAACACAACCTCCTCAATGTTGCGCGCGTGTTGCAGTCTCGTTGTACGTGCCCAGAAAACGCAGCACCCGTGAAAGTTGTTCGTCGGAGAACACGGACCAACCAAGATCCGACTCAGAAGACTCCAAAATCCAACCGAGTTGCTCGTACGCTGTGCCGAAACCGCTAAAGAGACGGTCCGCTCCACAATCGAGCAGTAAGGCGCAGAAACCGAGGCGATCGCGGAACGGCAAAGTTAAAAAGGACAACACTGCCTGCCACAGCAACATAACGAAGTACTTCTCGAACTGCACGTTGTCCGGGTTCGCGCCGTTGCCGACGAACGAGCAGGATTATTCAGACGACAACTCGACGGAGTTCAAGGTCCAAAGTTGGCTAGAAACTTTGTCGGCTACTAAGCAGTTCGATGTTCCCAACCGAATCGGGTCGACCGCTTGCGATCTTGACGATACGCTCACGTATTCAGTCTCCCAGGACGGAGGGAACAAAGTTGACACAGCTGTGCACGAACCTAACCGTCCTTTGACCAGCAGAGATGATAATTGCCCTCGCTACGTAACTCCGAGGCGACCTTCGAAGGATCAAAAGCCAGGGACCGCTTCACAGAAAACGATCAAGCCTGGGAATCCCCCAGGATCTTCCGAAACATCGAACGCAAGATCAATCGATAGACAGAATCAACCGCAGCAAGCCAATCGAAGGGTTAGCACGTCTACCAACAGGTCGAGCAGCAAGGAAATCCCCCAAGAGCAGGCTCAGAATCAAGAAAAGACGAGCGACGTTCACAAGACCTCTCCATGCGATTTGCTGCCATCGATGAAGAAGAATTGGACGTCGGTGGTCCAGTTCGGCAAGGAGATGCGCTCGAAAGGCGGAAGGCGGAAGAAGAAATCGCTGAACGTCAGTAGAGAGAACAAGAACAAAAAGTCGGCGGACGAGGCCTCGAGACAGGAAGCCACGAAGAAGCGGGAACAACCGAAGAGGCGGGGAAGAAGAAGCGTGGAGGACACACGGGTCGCGGATAACGACTGGAATGAGGGATTGCCGGCGCGCGAAGTTACGGGGGAACAAGGTCCCAGGGACAAGAAGAATGGATCGATGTCGGAGAGCCAGCCTGCGAAGGAGTCGTCCTTTATCATGCTGGATAAGGGCGAGGAGGTGCATATAAGAAATTTGAACAGCCATCAGATGAACGACATAATCGGGGTCACGGCTGGAAGCCGAGCCGAATTAGAGATTGAAAATCCGCCGTATAATCAGGTCGACGAGGAGGAAGAGTTCGCGAAGAAATTAGGCTTGTGCAGAACCCCCAAGCGGGATCAGCGCAGCAGATCCCTTATCGACGCGACTGCGGTTAGAGAAGCTGAAAACCTTGGTAGCCCAATGATGGAAAATGTTTCCCCATCAGGGACGGAAAGAATCAAAGCGAACGAATTATGCTCGACGTCTAATTTTCAATCCTCAACCCCTCTTCCGAGCAGATTGTCCTTGAAGAGACAAGGCGTCCAATCGAGCGATACCCAGAGCGCCGACTCGCGACTAATGAGCGTAAAACGTGATTTGAACCGGGAGATCATTCGGAGTGAAGAGGAGAGTACAGATAAGATTACACGGATATTAACATTAGGAGCAAAGGATAACCCTGAAGAAGGCTGTAAAGATAATCTCGATGGCCCTAGAAGCGCCGCGGCACCGAGCACTTCGAAGAATAAGAAACAAGAGGACAAGAGGAAAGGGAGTCACGGAGGCAAGGTCATGTTCCAGAAGTTGGGCAAGGTTGTCAAGCCTCGCAGAAAGCGTATTATCTTCTTGTATCTCGGGAGCACTAGGGGAATGTTCTCAAAACGTCAAGATTACGTCAAAGGATTGCAATCGCCGTGCAATACAGTAGAGCTGAACGAACCCCAAAAAGCCTACCCTGAGAAGAGTTTCGGCAACAGTACTCGAATCACGGTGAACGACATGGAGGAGGCACGTGTCCAAGAAAATCCAGCTAAAGATTCTGATACGAACACGAAAAGGGCATCAATGCCAGAGGAAGCACCGTTAAACGCAGATCAACCGGAGATATCGGTTAACAAAGCGCCGGGGGTTCAAAGACAAACATTCGACGCTGACAAAACAACAACATCTAAAGCCACCAATAAGGATAACGACGCCGTCTCCAAGAACGTCGTCTCGACGACCGCAGCCAGCCAACTCTGCGACTCGAATGACATTCTGTTCGTCTCGCTCTACGAGAATGAGGAAAGGGACAGCGTCCCGTTGCATCGACCGGTACAGCCGGCTCTCAAGAGCGACGTGAAGATGTTGACGCCGAAAAAGGACACTCAGCTGAAGCCGCTCTCCCCGAAGTCACCCACGGCGAGCACCGGGCAGGCCACGAGGCTCGCGCAACAGGGCCAAGATATCGGTGCCAAGAAGAGCAACTTGTCCGACGTGAAAGGCGTTCATTCTAGGGCCCTCATAAGGACCTCGCAGCGGAGATCCGAGGGATCGGAGATCGCCGGTTCGCCGTGCAAAAAGAGAAAGAGGTCCGCCAGCCGAGATAATCCGGGACAGATGATGAAGAGGACGACGAAGGAGCGGGATCAAACTGAAAAGGGCTCCCGTGACGGTTCCTTTAAAAGTTCGCACCGCAGGAACTCGGTTAAGGACTTAGCGGCTGATAGTACGGACAATGTTGACAAAAAGTATTACATTCTGCCGCCTGGCCAGAGTACCCGGTACACGGATGTCGTGTCGGTCAGCTCGAACAGCGACACCGACGCTGAACACCACTTGCTGCAGGATCAAAAGAGAAGAGTCTACAAAAGGATCGTACCCAAGGCTGTCAGCTCGGACACGGACAGCTCGGACGTGATTTGTTTAACCGAGCAGAATAGAAACGTTACCCGAATTAATAACGAAGTAGGGCTTTCGCCGACGTCTAAACGTAAACGACCAATCTCCCCGGATTCCGATTCTTACAACGACTTGAACACGATCGTGAATGATTGGTCGAAGGACCTGATGCCTACAGACAGGTTCAATAAAAAGGGAAAACTGGAAGCTTCTTCAAGTGTGTCGAGCGTGTCTGACAAGAAAACCAATGTAAGCGTGAAGACGTTGACTTTGAGCTCTTCTAGGATACCAACCAGATGTGCCGGTTTGCAACGCAGGCGTTTGCTTCAATCGGATACAGAGTCTAACTCTGAGAAATCGAATACAACGACGAAGAAAGGGTCGCTTAATAAAGCCGATTTCAACGATGACTCGCCAGATTTCGGAGCGATCATAGACAAAATTAGAGGCATGCAGACCGCGTCCATTGCCTCCGACGAAATACCAAGACAAAACGACAGGCAGTACTTGATGCAGGATAATTTCGACGAGGTCATTGCTAATGTCGATACGGAAAGTTTGGCTGACGATTTCGGCGCACCTGTGAGAAGCACGTACGTGATAATGGAGAACACGCGGAAGGAACAACATGGCGGTCGTCTTTTGTCAGCGAGCGAGGAGCGTCTTTGTAATAGCTCCGATAAGGAGAACAGGTACAAGGGGTCCAGCAAGGTGTACGACACGGAGAGCGACGATGACAAAACCTTGACGCCAGAGTACATACAAGCGGCCGGTAAAAGTTCGAGGAAAGAAGGCGATAGATCGATCAGTGGACAGAGGAACGACGCCGCGGGCGAGTCGTTCGCGGCGCAGTTAGTGACGCTCGACAGCGACAAAATGGCCGGTGGCACTGTTAGCGGTCCGCCGCTGAAGGACTCGTTCGATCATGATTCTTTGATGAACGTCACGGAGCATCAGTTGCGTATTAAGCAGTTCGAGGAGGACTTGTTTGGGAAACCGGTGGAGGTAAACGTTCCGACAACGAAGAGGATCGGCGAACAATTAACGCCGCCGAGTTCGAGAACTGTGAACAGGAGTTCGAATATGCAGAATATGGTAAGGTGTAAGTTCCACTGTGGCTTGTTTGCAGGGTACTTTTATTGTCATTCTCATGTTTCGAGTAATTTCGGATTCACTAGGAATATTATCTGTTGACGCGGAATATTAATACTTATGTTTATCTGTTTACATTGAGATCGAATTGAAGTTTTTACAAGTTTATTGTGCGCGATGGTAGGGTTAGCTGATAGGTTCGACAGATTTTTCGAGTAGATATTTATAAATCGGAAATAATTGAAACCGACGTGAAGTTTAAAGTCTAACATTTTGCAGAATTAATTTCACAGAATCTACGATGCTTGTGTTCTATTCTTATATTTTATATTTTACGAATTTCGTGCATTTTGCTGGCCGGTGAATTTAATTCGTGGAAAGTGAGCATCAATTTTTGTAGAAATAACGTTTGTAACTAACCGAGCCGTGAATGCGGAGCATTTTGCGCAGATTCGGCTGAAAAATAGTATAATATCCTGTCGCCGCGCCGTTTGGTATCTAAATCGTGTTTCTCATTATTCGCCGTAACTATTCATTCCGCTGCTTACGAGATAAACAAGCCTCTTTGCACAGCCCTCTCAAAGACTCACTTGTGCTCTGAAATATCCAGGACGCCGAACACTCGGACGAAGAAGACGACATTGTCGAGAACACTCCCGACGTAAAGACGAAAAAGTAAGTAATGCAAGTCTTTTGTAGCTGCTCCCCCTCGTTCCATGTCGCTCTCGAGCGCGCGTAATTATCCATTCAATTAACGGGATAATACGATCCATGCGAGAACGTAATCTAGTTCCACGATTGATCTCTCAATTTTATTTTTTTTCTTTACAAATTATGAAACACTCCTGGCAGCCGTATTATTAAATAGCCTTCATTAAATTGTTAATACGATGATACAACTCTTCGGACTCGTTCGATTACAAATGATTTTTTAGTAACTTGTTTCCGTTGTATTTCGATTTCTACAGTATGTATCTGTATTAAAATATTATTAACCCTTTGTAGACGAATGTCGACATTTGGGCGAGATAAAGTTTTCATATTTGGTACACAAAGTAGCAAGCAAATTCCTTTTTTTATTGTTTAAGAAATTTACATATAATTTAGCTTCATTTGAAGCTTTTGTATGTCTCAAAGAATCTTCGTCCGCAAGGAGTTAATATCATTGATATTATAGTTTTCCTGAAAATTTAATATTGCAACTTCCTAGAACGTTTAATATTATAATTTTCCGAAATATTTAATACTGTAACTTTCCAAAATATTCAATATCATAATTTCCCAGAACATTTAATATTATAACCTTCCGGGACATTCAATATTATAACTTCCCAAACAAACATCAAACACATTTTTCCCAAACCCCGCAAGTAGACAGCATCACGATTAAACCCATAGTCGCGAAGCCCTCAATCACTCCCCGATTTTCAATTCCACTCTCCAAGAACCACACACGGCAATACGTCTCTATCAATTTCCAGCTTGCAAGCGATCAACTCGACACTGCAAGAAAACCCGATGACGTCGCCGGTGTCGCATATAAACGGGGACCGCGCTGCGAGGACCCCACCATCAGTGAGTGGAGGAAGCTCGACCGCCAGCAGTACTCTGAGCAAGAAAAACATACGTCCTATCTATCAGAGCACGCCAAGAGTCTGCGAACCGGCGAAGAACGATTGCGCCCCGGTTGTCGGCACGTCAGGAAAGAAACCGAAACCCGCTGGAAATGTAAACATGTCGCTGAACAGAGGAACGAGCACGACAGCCAGGACCAATGGAGCGAGCATCAATCAGCGGGGAGCGAGCAGGCAAAAACTGCGTTTCATTTGCAGCGGTTTGCAGCCTGCACAGATCGAGCAGGTAAAAAAGTTCGCTATCCTGGCGAACGCGGACTACCAGACTCAGTTCGATCCGAGCGTAACGCACGTGATCGTGAAGGAGGACAAGGGGAACAGCGCTAGCAAGACGCTCAAGTATTTGCAGGGTGTTGCGCACGGGAAGTGGGTCGTTGGTTATCAGTGGGTGATCGACTCGCTGAAAGAAGCGAGACCGATTAACGCGGAGAATTACGAGGTGGTCGATTGCGGGACATTCGAAGCTGGACCCCGGAGATCCAGGCTGAGGCAGAAGGGTCTGTTCGAGGGATTCGTCTTTCTTTGCATCGGGCCCTATTCGGGCGTCTCCGTTGAGCAGTTCCAGGTGAGGAACCGGAGGAAATATTATTACACAGTTGAATGTCGAATTAATAAATTAACCCCTTGCGGACGAATATTCTTCAAAGTACACAGAACCTTCAGCAGATTCGGCCAAATTATATACTGGATGCTTAATTAATAGAGAAAGAGGAAACTATGCACTGACCCTTTGTTATTTGAGTTATTAAATCATTCGTTCGCAACTCAGTATCCGAAATATGAAAGTTCGATCTCGGCGAAACGTCGACATTCGTCCGCAAAGGGTTAAATTAAATATTGCTTTTCTGCTGTCAGTTGTTAATGTTTGATATAAAGTAGTGTTGTAGAAGTATTATATAAAATGGTTTCCGAGTTGTGAACGAAGTGATAGGACAAGGGGTTAATATCAATGAAGCTTCGATCAATAATTATTCCCATGGAATCAGCTGCATTTCAAAGAGAGAATCGTACCAGGTATAGCGACGTATCTCGTCTACAGTGTCAGAACAACGCTTCGGATCGCCGGATATCTTGTCTACAGTGTCAGAATAACAGTATCAGGTCGTGAAATGTATCTTGCCTGTGGACTTATAGAGGTTAATTCACATATTTCATCGTCTCTTTAAAGAGATAGAAATTTTCATTGAATATTTCGAATAAACATTCTTATTTTCTGATAATGTAACAGTAATGTAAAGTGTAAATGTAATCTGACATTTTTTGATTCTACATTAACTCCGTATCATATATCAGATTCCAGTAATTATGAATATTAACATTTTAAAGCATATACAGCCTTAAAAAGAATGAATCTCTTTCCTTTTTAGTAAATTATTATTCGATAGATAAGGCAGTTGTCACTAATAATTCTAGTTAACAAGATTTGTCAGGGAAAAGAGTTATTTTCGTGTCTAAAGAATTTTTCCCCGTTTAAGATCAACGAAACAGCACTTTTATCTCGACAGCCGGTCAGTCAGTTTATCGTAGATGCATTGCAGTACGTCCCATGTGTAGCAAACGAAAAGTTGAGTGGTCCATAATGAAACTCTGCCCGGAATTCAAGGGAACGCATTTATTTACGTTTTCCTGCCGTCCAATCTTGCTAGACCATTTACAGTTGAACCCTTGCCAAGTTCCGCGGCTCAAGGCAACGTTCTCTTACAGGAGTTGCTACGTGCTACTGGTGGCACTGTAGTCGACACGGTGGATGCCACAACCACCGCCAAGTCACGGCTGAAGATCATAGTGATCCAGGCAGACAAGTACGATTACGAAATCATTGGTGAGTTCCATAATTTCGTTAATAATTTCGCAGTAAATATTCGACAAGAAATGAACCGTGGTGATTATTTTTGTGACGTTGAAGAATATTCAAACTCTATGCACTGTTAATATTATCGGAATGTTTAACTGTGACCAGAATAGGAATAAGTAACTTGAACTCCATAAATATTATAAAATTACGACAGTAAGAAGAATATTTTACTATAGCTTCTCAATGGAAAAGTGAAAAGTTCTCACTGAAAACACGGTAGTTAATATCATCCGAGTCACGGGCGCCAAAAATATCAAAAGTCTTCATTAACAGTATTAAATTGGCAGAAACATTCTTTTTATTAAAATATGAAATTTTAATTATGAATTATGTTGAAATTATGAAATTCATGAAATAATTAAAATTGTATTATATTATAATCTATTCTTATAATATATTATTTATTATAATAATATTATCATAAATTACAATGTATTATTATTATAATAATATTATCATAAATTATAATGTATTATTATTATAATAATATTATCATAAATTATAATGTATTATTATAATTATAATATATTATTATAATTTATTAATAAAATCGATTATGTTACGAAAGTTCAAGGAGCTTTTAACGATCTCTGCGACCTTCTCTCAAATCGCAAATGTACTTTTCTTCAAAAAATGCTTGAATGTTTGCTTCTGTAGGGTGGCACAAGACGACCCGTGGCGTGCCGGTCGTCCACGACTGGGTGGTAGAATGTATCAGTCAGTACAGGCTGATATCCTTCTATCCATACCTGTTGGAGTTGTCGCGACAGGACGTGCTCGCGCTCGGTTACCCGGAATATCTTGTCGAGGAAGATCCCGAAGACTTGGAATCCTCGTCTGAGGATACTATGTGACGCTGTGTCAATAGAATGATTGCTGTCGCCGCAATCGGTGACAGTTTATGCTCCTCGTTTAAC